TCAAATATGCAAAACAGGCGTGCGTGAAAGCTAATTTTATGCATTTGTTGCTGCACGGAGACAGGTGAAGTTCTCATAAAATTTTGGCTTTCTAATATGTTTGATTTTCGAAACAGAAAGATGTCAGTAGTTTTGCAAACTCAACATCTGACATGCCCGAACAAGAAACACATACGAGCACACTTGCACAATAGATGTTCAAGCAGAAACTAGTGTTTTACTGAGTTTGGTTCTCAAACTGGCATTTTAAAAGCGACGTCTTGATTTCCGCTTTGATGTGCCCAAGCATATAACATATGCGAGCGCAACAGCGAGATTTGAAATCTTTTGTTCACAGAATGGTCAAGCCAAGTGAAAAATTTAGCTATGCTCTCTGTCTGGCACTCGGGATCGAATTTCGCCGAAACCTTTTTACTTCCTCTTTCAGTACAGACGCTAAAAGAAAAGACGTTGAAACACACACACACACATATATCAACAACACTTCGTCCATATGAATTAGGACTCAAGTATACGAGGATGTTAATTTCAAAGTGGGGGACGGTAAGAAAGGTAGGAGAGAGGAAAAGGAGCTGTATGTAGACTAGGAATATCGTCCTTAAAATTTCAATTTGCTAACTTCCCCGATTTCTGAGTGGATGATAGGAGGGAAATCCAAGCACAAGCACACACATACACACAACACATAAACACATACACACACACATACGCACATATATCGATGACACTTCGTCCTTGTGAGTTTTCGCACAGCATCAAAACAAATAAGCATAACAGAGGATTTTTTCAAAAAGATATTTTTGATGCAGCCGTCTGTTTGAGTGCTGTTACCTGATTCACGTAGACACCAGCGTCAACACTGATTTCCCACTCTTTCACTGACTGATCCTGTCGGATTTTCTTCGGCAACAAACCTCTGCAACAGTTCAAAATGATACTTGGAGTATACGTTGTTGTGGAAAAACATTCAGTGCTATTAGCAAGAAATAATGGCGCGCATCA